TTGGACGGATCAACGCAAGTTACTCGGCGAGCCACAATTCGCACGCACCTCTCGAATGCCGATGTTGCGGCCTGGTCGCCCACAGCCCTCGAGGAAGGGCGGCCTGCCGGAGCGGCGTCGGGAACGGGCGCGAAACGGCGCCCCGCGGCGACGTTTGGGGCCCAAGCTACGACGCTTGGTGGCCGCGACGTTTGGGCGATGGGCTGCAAGGCACGCCAAGGGGCGCGGCGATACGGTGTAGGGGCGCTCGCCTGGGGCCGCAGTACCGTCGCAAAGTACGGGAGGCGTGTTTGACGCGAGAAGTGCGAGTGCAAAGTACTGGCGCAGAAGCGCTTGACGTGCGTGGCTTTCCGGGAAGGGGGGTGCGCCCAGCGCCGGGTGATACTGTCTGTAAAGTACTGGAGGTCGTGTTCGACGCCCGCACGACGGGTTTGACGCGGGAAATGCAGCTGCAAAGTACTGGCGCAGACACACTTGACGCGCGTGTTGTCAGGGGGAGGAGGGTGCGCCAGCCCTGGGTGATTCTGAGAGTAAAGTACTGGAGGACTTGTTTGACGCGAAAAGAGCGGGTGCAAAGTACTGGTGGAAGCGCGGTCGACATGCGCGCTTGCATGTGCGCGTGAGCGAAATGACGCGCTGTTCGCAACACCGCATAATGACCACCGTTTCACTGGGTGGATCACTTATGCATTATGGTGTGCGACTTGTATGCACGTCAAGAATATGGTTTCTATGCAAGGCATTCTGAATGTAGAAAAGGAAAAGAAAAATGTGTTTCAGAATTCACAGAATTGTTTCTCATGTGATGGGACTTTTGTGAGCATCAACTTGGTTGCTGTGGGAGATGCCATCCGATTTAGAGACAAGTGTTATGTTGAGGTCGCGCTCGCAGCTGAAATATTTCTACATTGCCATTGAGTGTATGGGCACCTTTGGTATATGTGTTATAGAGTGGGTTGCATTGTGGTGATGAGTGGGTATCTTTGAAATGTCGTATGGCTGGTTGGTGATGGATGATGGTCCTTGTCACATGAAAAGGAAAGTTCTGTGGGTGCAAAAAAATTCGAGCTGTTCGGTTGCGGGGGTCGTTGCCACCGTCGGCAAGGCCCTTCGCTGTGGGAAGGGTGAACAAATATGTAAGCCCTGGGCGTTTTGTGTGTGGTGTGGCCTTGCGTCTGGCCGTGTGCCAAGGCCGTTGAAGCATCGGCGATCGTGGATTCGCGCTTCCCGTGTGCACTCCAAAGGGAGCCGTTTGAATCGCATCAACGGCTTTTCCTTCAAGAGCGCAGCGATAAAGGGTCTTTTGGTTGGGCTGTGGTTTTACGGGTTTGTGTAAGGGTTTATGTAATAAGGCAGCCGTGTTTACGTAACGTGACGAGGGACAGGGTCAACCCGAGTACATAATGCAGCCGATGTAGATTTCATTTTCCGCCCAATTGCAGTCAGATTCAAACAAGGCAATGAACTAAACTTAGTGCTTTGTCCTTGCTGGGGGTCTTTGAGGTTTAGGGCGCGCGAACTGCCATAGAGCAACGATTTCGCAGCGCCAGCCGGATTCCGGCCTTGATGTGTCCTGGCGACTGCGACGTGGGAGGGATCGCATCGCCAAGCACTTCACATCGCAGTACATCGTAGCAGTACATCATCTTGCGACACATCACCTCGCAGCACATCATATCGCAGTGCACCGCAGTACATCTCCTCGCAGCACATCATATCGCAGTGTATCGCATCATGCCATATCAGATCGCAGCTTATCGTATCGTGTCATGTGGTGTGGTACTGTATTGTATCATTTGTCACGGGATATAGATTCTTCTACACAAACGACGAATACGTCAAGTACTGGGCGCCCGCGCCCCTCCTTATTGTGAACGAGCGGCCTGAATGAATGTTCAGGTCGTCATGGAGGCGGGCTGGAGCGGCAATACATTGGGCAGCGGTGCAAGTGGGATTTTAGCAGTAAAGTACTGCAGTACTGAATTTAGGACTGTGGCTGCATGCACTGTGCTAGATACATAGCTATCCCAAATACCCCGTTGGAGCTGCGATCTGCCTGCTTAGAGGGTGAGCGCTATTGCGCTGTAGCCTATTTTATCATTTTTTGTTTCTACACAGTACATTCGGACACTAATGCCTTAACTTGCGCTGGAAAACGTTATAAACGGCAGTTGTGGGCCGCCTGAGATATTCCCGTTCCCGCCAAAACCCGCGCACACCACCAAGCGCCAGTTTCTGTCACCCTGGTCGCCGAGGTCCAAACGGCCGGCAAGCGAGGCAGCACCTCTCTTGCCGCCCGCCCACCCCCCCACCCCTCCATCGCAACACTGCCAATCCGCGCCCGCGGCCTCCCCTGGTCCGCAAAAGCTTCTGACAGCGCCTCCCGGAGGCCACGCACGACCCAGGCGCTGCACGCGAAGTCTATGAGCTGATGGCTGCAGCAAAGACAGCGCCCCCCACAGGGTGAGCCCACGCCAAAATGCGCCAAGCCAAGCGCCGCGCTCAAAACGGCGGCATGGCATTGAATAGTGGCCCCCGCCCCCCGATACGAGACGGCCCGCCTGAACGAGTCCCGCGTTGGCTGCTTTCCCGCCATCTTGGCCCCGGCGCCTTTCCTTGTCGGCAATCGACGGCCTGTCAGGCGGATCGGTGTTTCGTGGGCGTTTCTCTGGCGACGACGTTTCCGGCCTGCAAGCTTTCTGTCAGCCCCTTTGTAGAAATCGAATTTCTCGCCCTGCTGCATTTTCACGCCTGGTGGCTCTCGTCGTGCGCACAAAGGCCCCATGCCATGGGGGACGCCCCTGGTCAAAGCCTGGTCAACGCCTACCTCAAGAATGGTCAAACTCCCCTCCCATCGTCTCCACCCGCTGATCCCACACTCGCCCGTTCCGCGTCGAGGTCAGGGCAAGTCTGCGCACTCCGTGTCCGTGGCCCCTTCACCTCATGGCCACATGGCTTTGTTGGAAAAGTGCCCAGCTGGATTCGCACAGACGTGCCATTGGGGAAGAAAACATGTTATAACATAATTAATATAAATGAGACGGGTAGAAAGAAAAGAAAAAGACGACCCATCCCACCCCACCCCAGCTCTCCACCCACCAACTCCCTCTGGCCGCTCGACAGTCACTTCCTTGCAGTGCAGAGGGCCGTGTGAGCGGCGCGCCCTTTTCCATTGGCGACAAGATTTCCTTTGACCTGCATTCAATCCTTGACTACGTGCTCACAGAAAATACCCAATCCAAAAGCTCAATCCCTCGCAACTACAAGGCGATGAAGGGAAGCCGCTCGGCCCTGAATCGCGTCTCCTCTTGGGCGCTGGGACCCAACGAGGAGCGCTCCGTCCCGCCGGACAACAGCTGGCCACTGAAGACCCGTTGATGTGGGAAACGCGTTGATACGAAAAAGAGCGCCGCATTGCGTGGCCCGTGTCTTTTGCCATAGGGTGTGGCCATCGTCCGCGGGGGATCTGCCCGCGTGGTCGGCGTGGTCGTGGACTCCCGGAGATGGCCTTGCGCAGGAGGGAAATTTCCGGGTGCCAATCTGGCATGCTGATATGCCACGCCCCACAAGAAAGGCTACAAGAAGACTACAGACCCAATTGGAAGCGGTGCGATGGTCGGCATGCAAATAATACATTTATTTGATTTACTTTCGCTGCTTACTTGTTTATTGAGCTATTTTAGTTTTTTGCTTGATAATTCGGCTTCAGGGTTGTAGTTCCTTGCTGATATCACAGTCTGTCACCCTGAACTCCCCAACTCGAACTACTGAAAAGTCTACTGGTTTAACCAAAAGTGGTAACGGTAATGTTCTGTCTTGTCAGACGAGTGCTACGCCCTTGGGCGAGGTGCGGCAACCTCACAGGTCGAGTTTGAACCACTAACAAGGGCGCATCGTTTCAGGACAAGTTGGTAGTTTTGTAGGAATAAATGGCCAAAATTTACAATTCAATAGTTCGTATAAAGTAGAGGGACTGCGCTCAAGCAGGGATCGTGCTTGCAAGCGAAATGACAGGAGGTTCGGCGCAACCAAGTTAAATCAGGCCGCCAGCCTGTTTCTCGCATACGCACCCCCCCCCCATTGCCCCAACACATCGTGACAGATGCCAGGATGAACCAACGCAGCGATGTTTGAACGGAGAAAATACCCTTGGCAGTGCAAGTGATTCTGATTCAACACAGCACGTTGACATCCCCGTGAATTGCAGTGATTCAATGCTTTCTTCGGTCGCTTGATTGACCAACGGAGGCCCTGACCACTGATCGGCCCTGCGTTCAGTTGAGGGATCAGAGGAATAACCAAACCGCATGGAATCAATGGCAGCCCTTTGCCACCGAATCCCGCGTGCAGGCCATTCTCGCGCACTTTTCGGGACACAATGCCATCTGGGGTGACTTGAATGGCCATCGCGACTTCGCGCTTTTGCAATCTCGAAGCAGGGCAGCCGCTCAACGGCTCCCCGCCTCCTGGGGGACACAAGGGCGCTCGGGCAGGTGTCGCGGCCTCTGGCCACGGCTGTGCCTTGCGGCCCCGTCCTCATACGCTGGGTGGTCACCCACGACAGTTTGACCCCGTCCAAAAGAACGGCACCACCACCGAACTGGCGTCCGAGACCTGGGCTGTTTCGTTGCGGAGGTGGACCGGCCTGTCGTGCTGTCTGCGACACATCCTGGGATAGAAGTTTGCAGGAACGGCTAGGTAAACATACGATTATTTTCCTGGGCGTCTGAATGCTGCGTCAGAAATCCCAGTGTGGGCATTGTACTGCTGGCCCCGGCTGCTGTCGTGCTGTGCCTGGGAGACCGTTTCACGCGCTTACAGAAGGGGACGTTTTCGGTGGCCCACGACAAACAGCCTTTCAGTTTTTGATGTGCACTGCAGAGAATAGCGTGTGTTGAGGGTTTTTGCGGTTTTTACCCTTCTGAATTTCTAGGTTGAATCTCTGCAGCTTGGCGGAGAAAGGGAGCTGAGTTGTGGAGCTGTGGAGTTTGCGCTGTGCTATGAGTCAGCAGCAGACCATGGTGAGTTGACAACTTCCTACTGCCCCTGTCCCTCTTTACGCACGTTGGTGCAATGCACATCAGCCAATGCAACATAGAACTTGACGTTATGTTGCTCAGTGCAGGGATGTGAGGCTAACCAGTTAACATCGGCGAAGTAAATGTCTGTCGGCGATTGTCTGGAGGAATATCTGATTTCACATTTCTTTGGTGTGTGCTGCGGAGTTCGGATTTTGCACCTGGACATTAACAGCACAAAGGCATTTTGCTGTATGGATCATGTGCGGAGGGAAATGCAAGATGTTCTGTATTGAATCAGCAAGGAACAGCTGAAGCCAAGGAGTGGGTGAAGAGTCGGTGTGGGTCATTGACTGTGCATCCTGAATGATGCTGCAGGGGGACAGGACGGACACAGAGGCAGCAGAGGGCAGTGGAATTATGCAGGTCAGCTCCTGGATATGGATTGGGTACAGTCTTAAACAGCTGGTTGATTCACCTAACGTTGTGCAGAACAGTGCTGTTCCATTTTGCTGTCTGCTGAGCCTTTGCAGCCAACAGTGCAGTTCCAGTTCTCTATCCACAAGCACGTACAGCAACAACTTGTCCATTCACACACCAGAAGTTGGGGACAGGATGATAACCAGAGACTTGTCCTGAGGAATAGGCAAACAGGTGGAATGCAATTGCAGAAACCCATGCTTCCATGGCTGAACCATAAAACAGCAATGTGCACAAAGATGCAGCACACATGTGCGCACAGAGGTGTGCGTTGTTGTTGCTAGTAAGTTGGATTTTGAAACCATGTGATCTCGCACGTAGGTTGCTTTGGTTGTTCCTGAGCACCATGGCCCAGGACCAAAATAAACATGGCGCTGATGGCAGGCTGATGAAACAAATCCTTTTGTGCAAAGGGCAAGTATTCATGAACTTGCTTGTCTCTATGGAGGCAGATTGACAAGAAATGGCACCTGCGGACATTGTAGTCTACACACATTGCAACGGTCACCTGCAAAAGACCTTTGGCTTGTATTGGAAGTGATGTTGCTGATGATCTGTGTGTGTCTGGTAGATGGTGGGCAGGTGTCAACAATTCCAATACAACTGCAGGATAATGGAATTTTTTGAGACACAACTTGACACAGCAGAGATGCTACAACCACAGGAAGCACCTTCAGAAAGGGTGGAGAAGTTTGTGTGCCAGTTGGAGAGGGGTCGGAGACTTCTTGCCAAACACTCTGAATTTGACATCATGAAGTTCTACAAGGTAGAACAGGCCCGCGATGGAGTGGAAGAGATCTGCGAAGAGTTGAGTGATTTGCTTGATGAGAACTGCAGAGGGCAGCTAGAGATTCAGGTGCCATTCAATATTGTGCATGAAGATGAGCTGTTTCTGCAAGAACTCTTGAAGTACATCCTTAGGGATGACTGCACTGCATGTGATGACACAATGTTGCAGAACTGGGCTGCTGCGAAGGCACTCAATGCTGAGAGGATGGCGTGTTTGCCGGTTGTGACTGAGGAGTCAGTGGTTTTGGGAAGCCCACTTGGGAAAGGGTCCTATGGCTATGTGCATGAAGCGGAGTGGGAGGGTGCAGCAGGCAAAGTGGCTGTGAAGATGCCAAATCGTACTGTGAGTATTGAGGACGTTGCATGTATGGTCAGGGAGGCTGTGTTGCAGATGTCTTTGACGGATGACCACGTTGCCAAAATCCATGCTCGCACAGCCTCTGGCTGGCTGGTGATGGAATTGGCGCAGCATGACTTGCAGAATCTGTGTGCTGGCCGCTCTGCACTGACATTTGTAGAGAGTTTTGCCTTGCTGGAGCAAGCTGCGGCAGGACTGAGCTTTGTGCATGGTCACCAGCCTGTATTTGTTCACTCAGATGTGAAAACTGCCAACTTCCTCGTCTTTGGGAACAGGGCTGATGGCTTCCATGTGAAACTGAGCGACTTTGGGCAGGCCATTGAATGGAGTGAGGACAGGAGTAAAACTGTGCGCAAGGGGGGATTTACACCCAATTATGTTGCTCCTGAAGTCCTCAATGGGAAGCCTGTTTGCCCAGAGTCGGATACGTTCAGCTTTGGGGTAGTGATCCATGAGGTTTTGAGTGGGGAGAAGCCATACAGCTCGAGCACAAATGTCCTCAATCTCTATGCCATGATCCTGGCAGGGAAACCACCTTGTCCAATGCCGGCAGACTGCCCTGATGAGGTGTGTCAGTTGCTCCAGTGCTGCTGTTTTCAAGATCCAAAGAAGAGGCCAGCCATGAAGCAAGTCCAAAGATATTTGGCTGAGGTAAAGGCGCTTTGTGCGAGTTGATGCACCGCCCTGCACAAGATTCAAGACAAAGCTCCAGCCTGCAGCAAGTTTCATGTGTTTTCACGTTTTGCTGTGCATAAGCTGTTCAGAAGGCAACGGGGGGATACTGTGGCAACCCCTGAGAAAATCCCAGCTGGCATGGCACAGTTGATTTGTGGCAATTGACTCAGCTGTGGTCCTGTTTTGTGCAGCTGGCAGCGGGGGGCATCCCACCCTTGGCACTTCTTCAACCACAAATGGTGAGTGTATTACGATGACTCTTAACTGGTCTAGAATATCTGCCTGGTGTAGAATACCTGCCACATGGCCCCTTGTGTATCGCGCAGCTGTGTGCATGATTACACGCTTACAACCAAAGTGATGTTCAAGTATTTGCAGGTTGTTGACGGACTTGAAAACTTGCCGCTGAGAATGTGCTCAGCTTGGGTGCGAGCTAATGTGGACCAGGATCTGCCAAGTGTTTTCTCATTGGTCCGTCCAGGGTGCCTTTTACCAGGCATTGTCACTCCGCATGCACCCATCCTTGCCTTTTGTCTCCTGAAGCCATTGCTGCTGCCACAATGTCCAACTATGAGCATTTCGTTTTATCATGTCATGGCTTTTTGTGGTTGGGCTTAGCACCCAAGCTTGGGGCTCGATTGTGCAGGAGTATGGGGAACGAGGCCCTGTGCGCCAAGATGTCCAGGTTACATTCATGGGCCTGGTGCTCACAGATGTGGATCAGTTAAAGTTTGTCAGCATAAGGTTGCTGGACTTGTTCAGCAAGATGACCTCGTGGGTGAAATCGGGCTACGATGCGGTCGTTGATCTTTTAGAGCCATTCTCTGGAAGTGTCATTTTTCCATTCCAGGTGAGCCATTGTGTTAATTCACAAGATTGGCTTGATGAAGTCTGTTGCTGAAACATGGTGGTGTTGGCAGCATGTTCAGTGGTCATGTCTCCAGTCACTGAAGAAGAGAAGCATTCTATTTCTGCCCCAAGCTTTTGAAATCTGCGGTTGCTTTTTGAGGGTCATATTTCTCCGCTTGAAGTTAGCACAGCGCTGTATTTCTGCCCACAAGCGTTTGAAATCCCCTATTGCTTTTAAAGGTTATACCCCTTCACTTGAGATCAGTGAAGCCCTGTATTTTCACTGCGCATTGCTTGGCACAATCCAGGTTGGCTACTTGTTATATACTTATGTACTTATTACTGAAGTAATTTTCGTGTACGAAAGTCGACAGGAATTTCCAAAGTGCACGTCCTTCATTGTAAGTCTGTCTCCTGTTTCAGGGGTTTGCAAACTTGCAATGCAAGAGAAAACGTTTTTGCACGTCTGTGCCACATATGTTGCTTTCTTGTGAAGAGTAGCAAAAAGAAAGTGATGATCTTCCGCAGCAGTGCACAGCAAAAGCTGTTTGAAAAGAGTTTCATGGTGGGAAGTTGGAGTGATGCATACCTTGTGTGTGCTGCTGGTTGTGCTCAATGACAACCAGGAGGGTGTTGGGTAGCCAAATGGCATTGGGCTGCCTTTTGGTTGTGTGGGAAAGGAGAACATCGCTGCCCACAGTGGCATGGTGGGAGACGAATCTATCTGCAGGGCTATGATCACTGTTTCAGCGAGCTGCGGTGTATATGTGGGATTGTCTTGGAGGGGGACCTGATGAGAGTTGAACAATAGGCTGCAGGCCACAAGTTTCAAAGTTCCAAGTTTTTGATGTTTCTACTGTTTCAGCATCATACGCCATACAGAGGCAGTATGTTACTTTGGGGACTGTTGATTAGATTGATGGCCAGGGGGTGGCCATTAAGGTTCTGAATATTGGCAGCTTCAGAATCCGCTTGACAGTAAGCCCAGTACTTTGAAGCAAGGCTGCTCTGCTTCTGCAAGGTGCTGAAGGACATATAAAGTTGAGATGCAAAAGCGCAGAATGTTTGGCTCAAGGCCTGTGTTTGCACATTTACAATTCCGTACCATGTTGAGGGCAAACAAGATGCTTTAAAGGCAATGCTAACAGTACAGGGGCAGTGCATTGCAGGGGCCAACTAGTAGGTTCTATTATGCCGAGTTGTGGACCAAGAATGGGGAGAACGTCAGGCCAAAGGCTTGACTTCTGAGCTGGCCAAACATAATATGGGATATGAAGCAGGATGCAGCATGCTGGAATTGGTGTCAGCTGTTCCGTGCCTGGGAGGACTTCTTTAGAGTATTGGCCTGAGGGGAAGCTTTACTTGGTCAAGGATCTGGAGGCTACAGTGGGACATTTCAACTGTTGCACTATTCCTGTAGGGACTGTCGATGGCCTGTGCAACTGTTGTTGAAATACATGTCAAATGACATGGTGGCCTAACTGGTGTACGTTTTTGTGTATGTGAGCAGATTGAGTACCCCAGCAGGCATTGTGCAGCCTTCTTCAAAAGGGAAGCGGAGAATGTTGCAGCATTCGTTTTCCAAACAGATTTGGAACTCTTGGCATTCCAGCCCCAAGCACAAGTGACCATATCTGAAGACGTTTATGTTGCTGATACTCAGGCACGGCTGTTGAGATTCGAAGGCTATCTAGTACCTTCTTCTGATAACCATGAAGAAAAGCCTTTGGGGAAAATGTGGTCCAAAGTGTGTTATACCATGTTAGGCCATGTACCATTTTTCCAATATACTGCTGAAATGGCAGAATATGTTGTCGAAATGCTGTGTGCCATATTGCTGGAAACAAAATAGCTTTCCAGCCAATGTGCTGTCAACCTGTGGCTGTGAATGAAGCAGGATATGCAGAACCACACTGCAGGAATGTTGCTCGTAAACTGAATACTGTGTTGTTGCATTTTCATGCTCTTTGACTTTTGTTGCATTTTTATGCTCCCTGTTGGTTGCTTGGTGCTCTGCACTGTTTCTGCATTTTGTTATCCCTGAGTGGTGCTATAGGAGGAGCTTAATCATCTGTCAACTGCTGTCTTGTAACTCCCCAGGTCGCAAAGCTGGAGGCACAAGTGCAATCCATCATCGAGGACATCGTGGGGGCAGCAGATGTGATGTACAGCAGGAACATGATCCATTTTTTGCAGGGCCAGATTGCTGACTTGAAGTCCTGCACATTTCATCTCCCGATGGGGGCACAGGAGGAAGTATGGAACAAAAGTTTGGCTGTGCTGTTGCACCACCTGAAACATGCACAGCAAATAATCAGGCTGCACAGTTTTGTGGATGTGCATGTTCTTTACAGGACACCCGACACGGAGATGATTGTGAAGCGGACAATTCGTGCGATCAACGATTTTTTGGTGAAGTGGAATTTGGGCACTGCAGGCAGCCTGCTTCTACCCTTGCCCTCAGAGCATGCAAAGCAGGACAGCCGTTGCTTGGTTGAGCATCTTGGGTATGTTTTCAAAGATCTCCCATGCAGCTTTGAGGGAGACAGCAAGGCAGCCAGGCGCGAATGGGAAACTGCCAAGGACACTATTGCCGACAAGCGACGCAAGTTACCAGTCATCACCAAGAAAAATATCATGCTGGGCCATCCCATTGCCAAAAACGTACACAGTGCTAAGTGGAGAGAGCGCTCTGTGGCAGTCAAGCAGATTGTTGCTTCGTCTGAGGATGACATCGGCCTTGAAGAGTTTGCTAAGTTTTACACCAGAACATTCAGCCAGACAGTGCTAGATCCACAGAGCGTGGTTAACGTGTACGGCGTCACCACAGGAGGTGCAGTGGTTGTGCAACTTGCAGACAGTGATTTGATGCAGTGGTACACGTCACTGTCTACATGTTATGGAAAAGACACTGTGAGCCAAAAACTCAGCGTCCTGGCTCGTGCTGCTGGTGCGTTGAAGTCATTGCATGCTGCGGGCATTGTTCACGGCTGTGTGAAGAGCAGCAACTTCTTGTTCTTTGGCCAAGATGTGAACGACTGTGTCATTAAGATCTCAGAGTTGCAGGTGCCGATCGAGCCATGGGAACGTGGCCGTGGCGCTGTTGCCCAGGCAGTACAATGGATGGCAAAGGAGGTGTGTGATGGACAACCCCACAGCATGAAGTCTGATGTCTTTGCCTTCGGAGCCATGATGTGGGAAGTGGCCACACAAGTGTTGCCGTACAGGCAGGGAACGTCTGCCATGGATGCCCTGCGCACCAAGCTTGCGGGGGAAATGCCATGTGCTGTTTCTAGAGAACTGGAGAAGACCTGGCCACTAGAGGTGCTGGATGTGATGCGTGCCTGCTGCTCACCATGCCCTGAGGACAGACCATCAATGGAGGATGTGTGGACCTGCATGGAGAAATGGAACAAGGTAACAGTTTAAACAGAGCAACACAGTGCATGGAAATGGAGTTTTGGCCCACATGTCACTGTGGTCCGTGCAAGTGTTTTGACAACTTGTTGAAAATACTTGAATGGAGAACATCCGGGAGAAATGCACATCAGGATAGATTTTTGCAGTCCCTGGCAAGGTCTAACTCACAGTGCAGTGTGCATATGCTTGGGATTAGTTTGGCAGCAACATCAGTAGCTTCTGCTCTGCGTGCTGTGCAAGTGCAATCACCGCTAAACTGGGCACCATGAAATTGTCACAAGGAGACCTTGATCCTCAGGTTCAACTGTTTGGAATGCTTGTGGCTTTCGTGGACTTGTATTTTCTGCTGCAAATAGTTGTACAATGGAATACCAATTGACAGACAGCCACAGAATGCCAGGAGAGCAGTTCCTGCCAGATATATTGATGGAGATGGGAACCTCAGGACTCCTTTCTAGAGTCCATTGTTGATTATGTTGTTCATATGATTGAGAAAGCACTTGTTGCCAGAATTGGCAATGTTGGATACTTACCTCGATCGCATGCATTTGCTTGCTCCCACATTGCTTGTTCACATCGCTACCGATTGCCCAGTTGCTGAAAGCTTTATTCTGCAGGGCCAAGTCGAGAGCTTCTCCAGTGGCCGCCCGAAGCAAGAGTCTCAACAAACTTGTGGCCAGAAGCCAAGAGAGGAGGTGAGACGATGCTGAGATGTGTTCAATGCCCCTGGCTCAGGGGATAGCTGGAAATCGGGATCAAAATCGTCGTAGTTGTTGCTGAGTGACCGTTCCCTCTATGAGAGAGCACTTGTGCTAGCAATGCATGAGCGGCTGCCTTGTGGGCTGTTCTGCCAATATTTGCAGAGCACTTGCCTCCCCATCAAACATTGAGAGGTGTGAGGGCAGCTTGATAATGAGGCATGAGGGTGCCTTTGTTGTGGCCCATTGGCACACAACCTGGTGATCAGTTCCCATGACTCCAGATGTGCCTGCCAGTGTCAAAGTAGCTATCCCCATGGGCTCCCTCGAGGTTCTGCCAACCGATGGCGACTGCTGTGTATGATATTGGGCGAGACCTTTTTGTTGTTTGCATTCAAGTTGTGCACAACTCCCAATCACAGTTGTGCACACTGTGGGGATGCAGGGTGCCAAACAATCATCGCACAGACAAGTGCGTGCTCTTGGCATTTGTATTTCGTTGTGGCCAAATGTCAATGAAAAACATGAACCACAAGTTTGTTTTCCTGTTTTGAAAGCCAAACATGCTGCATTCCTTTTTGTTTGCTTTTGAAGATCCAGACATGATGAACATGTTGACTGCCTTGAGGGTTCCCTCTGCGGCACATTGTGTCTGTGGCACTGTGGTACAGGGATCTTCCCCAAGGGTCTGGGCAGTGTATGCAACTAAGGTATCAGGCATGTTGCTATGTGCAGGACTGCATTTTTTATTTGCCTCCTGTGGTGCAAATTTTCTGTGCGATAAAACAAGTGCTGTATCATGCAACTGGTCTTGGGATGGGCAGCTGACACATTTCTTGCGAACAGCGGCTGGCAGCATACGAGGTGCGTGACTCGAACACGGTGATCCATGACACAAGCGAAAAAGTGGATGCCCTGCCAGAGAAGGTTGCTGCAGCAGGTAAGGAGCCATGACAGGCACAGGTGCCAGGGGGAGCTCATAACTGGCATTTTTTTGTATGCAAGGTTGTCATGACACAGACTTACAGACCATGTCGATGAACAGCAATGTTGGAGGATGGGCCACTGCAAAATATGTCTTATTCTACTTCTCTGGGTTCCACCTCCTAGTTTAATTTGCTGGTCTCATCATGCTCTGGAAGGTGTTGTTATAAAGATGTCTGTCAGTTGCACAATTACAAGAGTGTTGACTGGCACTGTGCACGTGGTGCACGATAATGGTGGTTTTAAAATGAGTTGTGCATGCCCGCACAAATTTCAGTGCATAACAGGCTGACAGCATGTACATCCCCAAGTTGATGTGGTGCCTCAATGTCTGAATGCACTTGCAGCAGCAGGGGTCAAGCCTGCGCTGCTAACTTTGTTTTGGGATTCCTCAAAGACATGCTTGCCAGCATGACTTATGGAATGAAATTTGAGTAATAGCAACAGGAGGCTTAGTAATTGAAAAATAGAAGCTCTTTGAGACGCATCTTTGGGAGCACAGGCCCCAGGAAATAAAGGCATTAGCACCAGCAGAGTGTAGATGCCAGTATATAAGGTGAGATCACCCATGCAATATGTCACAGATGTGATTAGCGGAAAAAAACAATAACTGATAGGGCTTTGCCAAGAAATTGTGTACAGAGGATGCAATCAAGGGAGGTCAGTGTTTGGGGATATGTGCAAGGTATATCATGCATTGCAACAGCGCACAAAGGACCCAATGCTTATATTAATTTGCTCCCTTTTGGCCTCTGGCCATCACATTGTGAAGGCAAGGCCTGGGTGGTCAACTGAATTTGCGAATTGGACCTTGTGCTTCCAAATGAGCCAAACTCAATTTCTGACGTCAGTAATCCTTATGAATCACTGGCCTCCAATGGCACTACAACACACTTTGAGCCACTGTTCACAGACTTTGAGGACCTCCTCAAGACTGGAGGCACAGCCGCTAGTCCCCTTCCAAACAGTGGAAAGAGAAGCCCAAAGGCCCCAGTGTGAGGGAGACAAGGAAGTGCTGAAAACATGGTTGTTGGGCAGAAATTATATGGCACCAAAAAGCACTCCCGGATCCACAATACTGCAGCTTTATTATAAGTCAGTTATGTCCCCAAAGATTTTGGTCCCAGTCTTTCAACTGTAACATTGATTTGCACTGGTGTGATAATTACCTTTCATTTCATAAACATAACATATTACTGTTCATTGGGTGTGAGGAAAGAGTTGCTTTGTGATGTGCATGCAAAAAGTTGTGTTGTAGCATGTTGGGATTTGAGAACACGTCGACATGCCCAACTGCAAGACTGATAACTGTGTTTTTGTGTGCTATTTGTTGAGGTAGTAAAGTGAACATATGCTATGTACTGGAGATGTCATTTGTGGTTGGATGATGGAATTTTGCATTGCCTTGTTGTGGCCAGTTGAGGAGACAGCGGTGCAAGTGCTGTCAAGAATGTTATCAATGGAGGTGTCAGCAAAAGTCCGTACAAAGGTCCATCATGCCCGTAGCACTACCCTCATTCCCACACAAGTGGTTACCATTGGTCAGGAATGGCAGGTGGCCAGAGTTAAACGGATGCTATTGGAGGGCACAGCAAGGTACGTGGCCGTCTTGGGCATGGGGGGAGTTGGCAAGACTACCCTTGCTATGTCCATCATAAACGACCAAGATGTGCAGGAGAGGTTCAAGAAGAGTGATAAAAAAGGGTGCCTTGGCTTGGGCTTTGTTACCATATCACAACATCCCGACATCCTAGATTGTCAGAAGAAAATATGGGAGGCACTTTTTGGAGAAAAGGTGGAATTTGCCAGTGTTGGCGAGGGGAAATCGAAGTTGGAAGCAATTTTGCAGGACAAGACCTATTTCCTTGTGATGGACGATGTTTGGGATGAAACTGACATTGTTGGCCTCGATGTTGCACCACCAAACAGTCGAGTGCTAATAACATCGCGGAATGACAAAGTTGCACAAGCTGTGGTAGCCCGCTGCTACGATGTGACACCTTTGGACGATGAGGCATCCCATCAACTGTTTTGCAAACATGCCTTTGACAGTGGCATGCCAAAAAGGTGGCAAGAGAGCCACATCCCTGCCATTCTCCAGAAATGCGATGGCCTTCCCCTTGCGTTGGAGATAATGGGAAGGCAGACTCATTCATTCGAAAAGCGACAGCAATGGCGTGATGCGGTTGAGATCTTGGCAGAGAGCAAAATGCTGAAGGAGCAACTGTTTGACCGTGTCTTTGGTTTGAGCTTCGACAGCATGAGTCCTGTGCATCAAGAGGTGTTGCTGGATATGGCAATGCTTCCTGAAGATCACCAAACAAAAGCGACAGACATGGTAGAGCTGCAGGTCAGCATTGGTGTGTGTGCAAGTGAGTGTACTGCACAAGAAGTGCTCAATACTCTGGAGGGCAAGGGGCTGTTGAGGCAGGAAGGAAGCAATGTCTCTGAAGTGCCAGAATTTGACCACTCTAGTGTAGGGGTCCGCTACTACTTGCATAATGTCATCCGCGACAGCGCTCTGTGCACCATTGCCAAGAAGTCAGTGTTGGAGCGGGAAAGATTGGTGTCATCGCATTTGAGACAGGGCACCTGCGGGAACCAAGTACTGATGGCAACAAGATTTTCTACCAGCCAGAGAATAAGGACGGACCAGCCATGGGCCTTGCGGGATCTGGAGATGCCAGGGTTGAAGGTTCTTATGTTGAGGGATGCTGGGATATCAGAGCTGCCATCATCGCTTTGCACTGCTCAGTTATTGGCAGTTGATCTGACATCCTCGGGTATCACCGAGTTGCCATCTCAAGTATCGTGTCTCCAATCTGTGAAAGTGCTGAGGTTGGATTACTGCAATAGGTTGGTTGGTCTTCCAAGTGAAGTGGGTGGAATGTTGAATTTGCAGGTGCTATCCATGAGGGGGTGCATGAGCATCTACAAAATCCCAGAGTCCTTAGGGAACCTATCGATGCTGACCAAGTTGCTTGTTCCAAAATGTGGAATTTCATACTTATGCCACCCTGACATGAAATTGTGGCACAACTTGACCATGTTGGACTTGAGCACATGCATGGCCCTCAAGCACTTGCCTTCGAATATCGGAGATTTGGCAAGCTTGACTGCACTGAATTTGGGTGGTTGTGCGCACTTGACATGCTTGCCAACTAGTATTGGCCAGTTGGGACAGCTCGAAGTGCTGATTTTGCACCGATGCAACTGCTTGGTGGAGCTGCCAGACACTATGGCAAGCCTTGCGAGTTTACAAGAGTTGGATGTCCAGTGCTGCCCACAGCTTGCTAGCATACCCAGCACTATTGG